GGGTAGTATAGACGCCCGGTCACACGGACACTGTTGTGAGCCTGGTCTTCATCCCACGCTCCCTCAGTTCCGGCAGATGCTGAACACTCTTTAGTGCCAGTTCAGGCTTTCTGACGCCATGGCCACTGGTGGCCAGCTCCTCACTCCCTGGCATGGGTGGAGGAACGGTGGTTCAAGGGCATTCAAGATGCCACCTCAGGCCACGTGGGACTGTGTCACTTCATGATCCTTTCCGTTGCATTTTGTCCAGTGAACCTTCTTTTATTCTTGTCCAAAGAATGTTTAAAATGCCATTTTCCACTTTCTCTGGTTTTCCCTATCTGCACTTCTCTCCTCTGAAAAGTATGCTCTTTGAGGGTAGGGACAGAGTTTTTCTCATCATGGCAGCACCAGGAACTGCAACAGCAGCTGGTACACGGCAGGTGCTCCTTCAGGATGTGCCAACAGAGCAAGTGCACAGGTGACCAAATACACAGTCATCTCTTCGTGCGCTGGTATTGCAGCTTGGAAACCTTTCTTCTCCTCTGTATATGATTTTCCTTTCTCCTACCACCTTGTAGACATGCTCACATGTACACACAAAAAGAATCTATCGCTGATGTAACTAATCCATAAGCAACTGTAGAATTCTAAAGAGAACCAAGCTCCTTCCAGAAATGGCAGAACTTGAAATACCATCAAATGAGAAATCAAATACTTGCTGACCATGGCCCCAGTTTTATAACGGGTGACTCTGACTGTATTACTATTTTAAATCCCAGTGGCTTTCAGAAGTTCTTGCCCAGCCCCAGCCACGAGAGGGGGAATACCACGTACCCTGGCGGTGCTCTGTGAGAAGCACGCAGGTGAGAAGTGCCGAGTGGAGTCGGGCAGCTTCACCAGCAGTCCCGACCCTCAGACCCTCCGTCTGTCCCAGCCCAGTTCTCCCCATAGCCCAGCCCGGAATGGGGGGCGGGATTGGGCACAGCCACCCAAAATGCCAGGCTATATGGCAACTTCCCCGGAGGAATTACCCGAGAAATAGTATCTTCCAAAGTGTTAAAAGATCACCATAAATTTGATGGCTTAAAACAACACAAATGTATTAGTTTACAGTTCCAGGGGCCAGAAGTCCTAAAATCGAGGTGTCAGCAGGGTTTGATTCTTTCTGGAGGGTCCAGGGCCAGGGGTGGGGCGGAATCCACTTCTTTGCCTTTTCCAGTTTCTAGCCACCACTCCCATTTCTTGGCTGGGGGTCCTCTTCCTCCGTCTTCAGAGCGAGCAGTGAACCTCCAAATTTCAGTCTCTCTCCGTCTCTCTCTTCCTCTCCTGTCATCACATTTCTCTTTCATCATCACATCTCCTCTAATTCAGACACTCCTGTGTCCCTCGTAAAAGGACCCTTGTGATTATCTTGGGCCCATTCAGGTAATCTCCCCATCTCAGAATCCGTGACTTAATCCCACGTGCAACGTCCCCTTTGCCAGGAAAGGTAGCATACTCACAGACCTCAGGGGTCAGGTGTGACTGAAGTCAGGGCCATCACTGCGTCTACCCCATCACTCCACCTGCTTTCTTCCTAATGGCCTCATGAAACGGCCTGCAGGTCCTCCCCTCACCCAGTGCTGAGCACGCTCACAGGCTGCTGGAGGCTTCCTTGTCACCTCCTCCCTCTGTGTGGGTGTTCCTGGTCTTCCAGGCTGGATGCACCTGCTTCTCCTTCCACACCCCTTTGAGCAACGCTAACCCTCTAGGCCATTCCTTTCTGCCACCTTGCACCATATTTGCGTGTGCATATGTTACCCTCCTGACTAACTTGAGCCAGGAACCAACTCCCTGTGCCCTCCTGGGACCTAGAAGAGTGTGGCAGGCTGCAGGTGCTCAGCTGTTACCGCTAGTGCTCAACAGAGGACCCGTGAGCCACTTCTCCTGGGGCTGGTGCCAGCCCTCCAGATGTCTGCTCCAGAGTCCTGACCTGGGACCCCTCGCCCTCAGCCCAGAGCACCTCCACTATTGAGGGTTGGCTCCCCTTCCTGTGAGCTGGCTGGACTGCACAATGGTTGCCCATTCAGAAAATACTGTCCCCAGGGGCTGTCGGTGGCCTGGGAAGGCAGCCTTCATTTACGCCAGTTGCTTCCCGCCTTGCCAGAGCAGGCTTGTTATTTGCTTTGCTGTTTGCTGTGGCAGGGGCTGCTCACCTGCAGTGCCGGCCGAGACACCCCAGATCCAAGCATGTTCGGCTGTTCCCACTATGGTTCTCTTCCCCTCAGGACACCATCCTCTACCTGTGTCGGCATGACTCACTTGGAACTTGTACTTGGTGAGAGCCTGAGCTTAATAAAAAAGCACTGGTTGAAAACGCCCCAGGCTCATTTTCAGCCACTCCCTGGGGATCCCTTGCCTCAACTCAGGTGGAATCTTACTTCCCCAGCTGTCAGGAAATGCAAAAGTGAGAATTGTTTAATTTTGTGGACCCTGGATAAAGTTTGGGGCTGAAGTTGAAGTGGATTTAAGGGCAGAGTTGGTAAGGGAATGCACACATGAAATCAAAGCTTCTGCTCGGACACATTACAAAATCAACAGGGGAGAGAGATAAGTTACCAAGTCATTAAAAAATTCTGCAAAATCCATCAGCAGAGAGCTGTGGAATGGAAAAAATAAGTGGATCCATATCTAATAGTCATCCTTTGGATAAATCTGAAATATGAAACATGAAGCTTAAAAGTACCAGATACACTCTGGGAGAATTTTTCTTATATAATCTCAGGATGACAAAGACCTTTCTAAATATAATACAGGATCCATAAACCACAAATGAAACAATAGTTAAATTTAACTACATGAAAAAAAGTATCTCTCAGAGAAAAATCTAGTTCATAAAGTGGAAAAACATGTGCCCACTGAGAAAAAAATATTTATAAGTCATATCACAGAAGAAGGCTAAGTTTCAATGTATAAAGGATACTTTCAAATCAATTAAAGATAACCACTAGCTCCCCAATGGGAAAATAGGCAAAAAATATAAAAAGTTGACAGAAAAAGAAATGTAGATGAGCTGGCCAGCCTCACTTATTTATAGTAAGGGAAATGCAGCTAAAATTAAAAAATCAAAACTCAAAATCAAAACTCATGAAGTTTGAAAACATTTGTATTGTGAGGAGTCAGAAGTCTTGTCATCTGCTGCTGGTAGAAGTACCCATGGGTACACAAGACCTGCAGGGGGTAAACTTTCAACCTCTATCAAAACTACAAACATGCATATTCTTTGACTCAGTAATTGTGCTAGGAATTCATCCTATGGCTGGTTTCCACCCCACAGGAAATGACATATATAGAACCTTATTTTCTGTGGCATTGTTTATACGATCAAAAGATTGAAAGTGATCGTCCATAGAGCAATGAGAAAAATAGCAGACGGAGAAGTTATTATATTTGCCCACAATGGGACTCAATCCCTAGGTCAAGAGGAAGGGAGATGCTCTCTATGACAGCATGGAAACGTTTCTAAGGTATCTTAGGCGACAAAACCAAGGCACAGACCAGCATGTTCACGGACCGTCTTTGTGTTTCAAAGACGGGAGAAGTAAGCTACTAGCTGCTTTCAAGAACAAACAGTGTAGTCCTTCTGGTGTTTTTGCTTAAGCTGTTCTCTTTGAGTAGATTGCCCTTTCTCCACCTCTGCTTACTGAAAAAAAAGTTTTTCCAGGAAAATTTCAAATATTTCTTCCTGTATGAACCTTTATTGATCTTCTTAATTAAATACTCTCTCACTTGAACAAAATTGTAAAATTGTTAGAATAGTTTTAAGGTTTTGGGTAAGAGATCCTTCCTAAGCAAGACAACCCCCCAAAATTTATAAATTAAGAAGATTGATTTAACCTTATAAGATACTTATTTAATGTTCTAGATGGTCAAAGACATCATGAATGGACACAAACTAAACAATGGAGCACCATATACTGATAACAAAGGCTTACTATCCAGATTATATGAATAGATCTATGGCAGTTTCTCAAAAAAGGTAAACATAGAGTTACTATACGACCCATTAGTTCCACTCCTAGGAATTTAACCAGGAGAGGTGGAAATATGTGTCCACCATAAACCTGTACACAGAGTTGTATTCCTGAGAGACAGAGAAAGAGAGGAGCTCCTGGAACCAACACACATAACACCAAGTCCAATAGAAAAAGAAGATTATGTTAAGAAAAAAATGCTGTTAGTTAAAAAAGAAATAAAAGCAAGTAAAAGTGCTCAATTTTAAATAACAAATATGTTTCTCTGTTTGATGAGCAAAAGTTACAAAGATTTATACTATGGTGTGGGGAAATAGGAAATAATGTAGCGGGAACATAAATTGTTAAATTATCTTTGTACGGTAATTCGGCAGGAGTCAGTAAGTGTTAAAATTATGTATCACCTTCCATCTATCTACCAGCTGCTGGTCACCTGTCCTCAGAGATACATACATGCACACAGACACACTTAGCACTTACAAGCATGATCATTGCAACATTATTTATAATGGGGAGAAAAGACCTTTTAAGGGATCACCAATGAGAAAAAGATACAAGAACTATGGTAAATTCATTCTATGGTATATTGGGCAGTAGTCTAAAAGCTATGGTAGATTTCTACATATTTGCAGAAAAGATAAAGGGAAAATGCCACTGAAGTACAGAATGTAAACTACTCTGTGTATAGGGGGAAGCTATACGCATAAATGCAGGGTATAGCTGTGTATATATACACAGAGTACACACACAGAATATAATAGTAGTTACCTCTAGAAAGAGGAGTAGAATTAGGGGTGGGGAAGGAGCAACTCTGGTTTTCTGCTCTACACATTTATAAGGTTTTGTTTGTTTGGCTGCTGTTGGAAGGTGGTGATGGATGGACCCAGCTCACACAGCTAGACAAAATCTGATCTCAGCCGAATGGCTGCCTGGTGTGATATTTTCTCCCATGTTCCAACAAAAGAAGAGAAGAGGCACTTTCTGAATCAGGAATGATTAAACAGTGTTTGCTTCATTTGGCAGAACATACACTAAAAACTGGGACGATACGGAAAAGATTAACATGGCCCCTGAGCAAGGATGATACGCAAATTTGTGAAGCATTCCATGTTTTTAACAGTAAAATGACAACAAACTCAACTATCAACAACTGAATCCAAAACACACACACACACACACACACATACACTAAGCAAACAACTAGAACAGGAACAGAATCACAGAAATGGAGATCACATGGAGGTTGTCAGCAGGGAGGGGGAGGGGAGAGAGTGGGGGGAAAAGGTACAGGGAAATATAAACATAATTGGTAGACACAAAATAGACAGGAGGAGGCTAAGAATAATATAGGAAATGGAGAAGCCAAAGAACCTACATGTATGACCCATGGACATGAGCTAATGGGGCAGAATCCTAGTGGGGGAGGTGTGAGGCAGGGGGCAGAATAGGAAAAAGAATGGGACAACTGTAATAGCATAATCAATAAAATATACTTTAAAAAAGAATGAACACACAGAAGTAAGAATGAAGCATTTTTCTCTGGCTATGAAGGATACCACTGACCTAAAGAGCCACTACTGAGAGTGAGACCCACTTATCTTATGCCTGTAGAAAATTAATGCACCCACCATGACCTAGCATATAGATTACACTTTTAAAATCTTCTCTAATACTCTAGACCAGGGGTGTGAAACTCATTTTCACCAGGGGCCACATCAGCCTTGCGGTTGCTTTCAAAGGGTCAAGTATAATTTTAGGACTGTGTAAAGGTAGCTACTCCGTAACTGTGAAGTGAGAGCTCAGCGCTGCCCCCAGGTAGAAACAGGGTGCCGGGCTGGATAAAACAAGGTGCTGGGCCGGATTTGGCCCGCGGGCCTTGTGTTTGCCACCTGTGCTCTAACCACTATGCCGGACACCTGAAACTAATATCAAATAATATTGAATGTAAAAAAATCAGAGGAATGAAGTAGTATAAGAACAGAGTCAATAAAAAATACATACATATATGTAGAATAGAAAACTATCAGTAATGCCAAATGTACTTTTTGGTAAACATTATTAAAATTGGTAAAGCCCAAACAAGATTGAATAACAACTACAAGACAGAGAATACAAATTACCAAGACCAAAAATTTAAGATACCTTAAAGCCATAAAAAAGATAATAATACCCACTTCTTAGGAAGTTTAAGGGAACTCCGTGAAGCCCTATACATAAAGCACCTAGCATAGCAACCTGGCTTATAGAAGCCATTCATGTAGCCATTGACATGCTTTTATTGAGCACAGGCTGTGTGCTTTGGGAATCCTCAGGTGGGCTGGTGAGTGGGCATGAGTGTGGGTGGAGAGACGTGGTTCCTGCCTCCACAGAGCAGAGAGTCCAGGGAAGATAGGCAAATTTTAATGATTACATGTAACATATAATATTGCAGCAATGCCAATGTGCGACAAATAAGACCTGGACAAGGGGCTAAAATTGAATATCTGAAGAGGTTAACTGACATGGTGAGGAAGGACAGAGAGGGCTTCCCCTAAGGAAGAATGGTGAGATGCTCTCTGCAGACAAGCAGATGTCATTAACAGGTGAGGCTAACCAGTAAGCATGAGAGTGGGAAGAGGTCTTGCATTGGGAAGAGCACGGCCTGACAGAAGGTCAGTGTGGCTGACGCTGCAAAGTAAAATTGACTGGAGCGCTAGATAGAGCTGGAGAGACAAACAGGGCCAGACTTTGTGGAACCGTGCAGGTTACCCTAAGGCACAGGTGGCAAACACAAGGCCTGGGGGCCAAATCCGGCCCTCCACTTGGTTTTATCTGGCCTGGTACCTTGTTTCTACCCGGTGGCAGTGCAGAGCTCTTCCGTAACTGTTAAGAAGTAGTTACATGTATACAGTCCTAAAATGACATTCGGCCCTTTGAAGGCAACTGTGAGGCTGATGTGGCCCCCGGTGAAAATAAGTTTGACACCCCTGGCCTAAAGAGTTTAATCTTCATCCTAAGAGCAATGGGAAGCCTCTGAAGGGATCAAATAGGGGTGAGAGGACATAACCAGGCCAGAAAAGATCGCCCTCCACGCACCGAGTGAAGCATGCATGGAGTGCGGACGTGCTGATGCCAGCAGAGGGCTTGGGCTGCTGTACAGGGAAAACAATGGCTACAACCACTTCGAGTTCATAATCAAAATTGAACTGAATAACTCAACAATAACTGCAATCAACAATGGACTGATGAAGTAAATAGCAGTAAATAGAGATAATATGAATGGAGAATATTAATATTAACTTCATGTAATTATGATGTTATCTCCAGGATATTTGTTACCTCAAAAAAGCAAAGTAGAAAAATTGTGTGTATTTGCTGCTATCTAAAAGATAAACATTTTTAAAATGGAAGGCGAAGTAAGCCAAGGGCGAGGAGGGAGGGAAGAGTTATTTATAGGAACAGCCAGGGAACAGGGTGGAAGAGAAGGGGATAGAGACTGAAGGTCTTTGAATGCAATCATTTTGTAGATTTGCCTGGGAAACCACATAGTTTACATAGTTACAAAGCAAAATTAAGTATAAAAAATCAATATTCATAAAAACTGAAAATGAAACAAAACAAATAAACCTAATTAGGTGTTGAGTTAGTGGCATTATCATAAAAAAAGGAGTTAATTGAAGTGACTCTAAAATTGCATCCCTTGGGATATATGTGATAAAGAAAATTGCAGCAAAAAATTTCTAAACTGCTTTCAGTTACCCTATTGCTACCAGTAGCATTTTTATTGTTATTCTGAGATGTTTATGCATGGCTTGTGGGATAAAATTAAAGTGAGCATTTTGGTCTTTGGCAACTGGGAATTTTGTTCTCTGGTGTGATACATTTGAGGAACAAAAGTAATCATAAACTACTTTTAGTAACTCTATTGTTTGTAAAAATGTTGTATTTTTACCTGGGACTCCTGTAAGTACAATATGTGTATAATTGTTGGATACAGAAAACAAGAAATTATCTGCTCTTCTCTTCTATCACCGTGGTTGTCTTGCAGAACCGGAAATCTTGGCATGAGACTAAGGAAACACTGTTGTAGGCTTAAAGGTTAAGCAAAACCCCTGTAGTCCTCATCCTGTGTCGGCAATAGTGAACTCATAATTGTATTTCATCTTGAAAAACAATTATTTCCTATTCCTGTCCACTGAAAATATCTAGAAACAATGACCAAGAGAGTAACAAATCACTTCTGATATCCAGATTATGGTCTCTAAACACCATGTCCCACTTCAGGAGCCAGGGTTGGAGAAGTGGCTAATTCCAGGTTCTGAGGCCAGATGTGTACAAGGTGAGCCAGCAACATCTGATGATACCACTGGCCAAAGACAGAAAAATTAAAATAACATGAACATGACTTCCTGTTGTATTTTTAATAATATAATATAGTAATCACCTTTAGAGGATATTAAGGAATTAATTCATTATTTTGAAAATTAGTAAATAAGGAGAAAAAATCATGTATTTACTCTTTCTTTCGTGCATAAACTATATACCTTAGGCTAACCAAGTGACAGGGAGATATTTCTCCTAACAGATATGTTCAGGTGTCAGATGAAGGAAGAATAATAAAATTAGAAAATTATTACTTTCCAACCCTTAATTAAATAATAAATCTAGGTAATGATCATCAATGGCTGAGAAGAGCTCAGAATGAGTTCAACCAGGGTCTTCATGTGCCTCCTGATGGAAGAAAATGATATCATCTAAGAAGCAAATTTACCAAAAATGAAAAAAATCAAACCTGTATCTGAACAAGACTATAGATCCAACTATCATTACACAGAAAATTCAGGAGATGGAAGAACATGTTATATAATACAACAAAGGTACAATGAGCAAAATTCAGAATTTGAGAAATTCTGAAGAACAAATGTTTTTACTATTCATCAAAAAGTTGCAAGCAAAGCCCTGGCTGGCATAGCTCAGTGGACTGAGTGCAGGCTGCGAACCAAAGCATTGCAGGTTCGATTCCTAGTCAGGGCACATGCCTGGGTTGCAGGCCATGTCCCCAGTGGGGGCCACGTCCCCAGTGGGGGCCATGTGAGAGGCAACCACACATTGATGTTTCTCTCTCTCTTTCTTCCTCCCTTCCCCTCTCTAAAAATAAATAAATAAAAAATCTTTTTAAAAAAGTTGCAAGCAAAATAAAAATCAGATGGAACCCATAGATTAAAAGAGATTTAAGACATATTAATCATCTAAAACAGATGGACCTCATTTGAATGTTGATTTCAACAAGCAAATGGTAAGGAATCACTTGGTGGTGGATGATGGGTGCCTGAGAGAACAGTATAATTCTTTCTACTTTATCATTCTCTCTACTTTTATGTGTGCCTGAAACTTTCCATAGTAAAATGCTAAGTAATAATTAACAGCAACAAAAACAACTAAGTTCCAGTGAGTGCTCATTACATGCCAGGCGCTGTGCTAAGCACGGCACAGGCGTACACTGTCCACCTGTCGGTGAGGTGGGCGCCTGTCTCCTCCACACTGATGCGGAAACCAAGGCATGCGGGGCAGGCCAAAGTGAGTGTGTAATTGTGAGCATGAGAGACACAGAGTTCATTCTCACATTGTTAGTTATTAGTTGCTGTATTATTTTTCCCATGAGCAACTGTAAGCCTACTTTTGCGCGACTCTGTTAGTTTTCCCCTTCCTGCTCCTAGAACTGTATTTTTTCTTCCTCAGATTGGGATGGGAGTACTCCTTTTCTCGCTTTTAGTATCACTTAATATTCCCTTCTTGTTTCAGAGGTGTTGGCATTTGAACCCAACTTGATGTCACCTGCACCTGTTGTGACACTGCTTTTAATCCATCGGCTAGGACACTGGGACAAATATGTCTGCTCCTCAGCCCCGCTTTGAGTGCTTACTCTATTCCTCTCACTGCACAAAGTACTTATATTCATGACCATATTTTGCCATGTATAATGTGCACTTTTGTGCCCACATTTCTGAGGGAAAAATTAGGATGCACATTGCATGAGTAGGACTAGGTACTTAAGAAAAAACAGCTTTGCTTGTTTCTGATCACTGAAAAGCCCGTGTTACACAAAGTGCAAAAGCATCTCAGTGGACTTGAAAAT